TATGTAAAAGTCGATGGATCTCAGTGCTTCCGATACCGTATAATTGATAACTTCTTGCCTAAAATATGACGGATTATTGGATGCAGTGTTAGTATATATTTGTCTTTTATGGATAATTTCCAGATTTCTTACCTCGCCTTTTATGGTCTATTCCGTTGTTGGCAATTGAATGTGATAAGTTTGGCCAAGATGAACTTTCGCTCGGTGCCCTATGCAGAAGCAGAAATTCATGCAAGCACTTATTAAATTGGTGATAGCTCAAAAATGCGATCCGCCCGAATGTTGTTAGACGATCGCAAACGAACACAATAGAACATTTTGGTAGATATTGAAGGCACTTACTCAACGTCTGTCGATTCGGGACCCATTGGTTTCTATAAGAGTTAAACCTTTCAATAAGTAAAACCACAAATGCGATAAAACAGTTTTTTCTCAACAAATTTACGTCAGTATTGGTGTTTTCTTTGCACTTCCTGCACAGACATAGGCCAATGACCTGTAGAACTAACATTAATCCGCCGAGAACAAGGAAGTTCTTTGGTACGTTATCTTTAACCTGTGAACTTAAGGTAGAAAAAAAACAATTATAAATTAATTGACGATCACAAGTACATGGAAACAAACAAATAGATTGGACACAGGAACGATACTCGCCCTCATTCATCTTAGTTGATACATGTGTAACTGATATCAGTTGCATTTGTGTCAGTTTCAATGGAAACTCACTCAGTTAGATTCCGGATGTTATGCGGATTGATCACAGCTATCTGAATTGGATTGAACACGAGACCTCCAATGCATAAACCAGCCGATAATATGCCCATTATTAATGCCCGATTCTTCGGAAACCACTAAAATATTAAAATTTAAATGGACATTTTCCTTTAAAAAGAATTAATTGGTGCTTACTAGGCTTAGGCTTATTGCAAAAGCCCGAAAATCCTACTTACCGAGGTAGCTATCGAAATAAGGACAGAGTATGGCAGTCCTATTCCGATGCCAAACATCACACTGTATGTTATAATGAAAGCTCCAAAACCATAATTGATGGTTAGGTAAGAAAGAAGGATTCCAGCGCTACAAGAAACAGACGATAAATAGGTAAGATGCAGTTCTGCAAGGAATGTGTTAAGTTTTTCTTAAAAACAATTGATTTTTTAAATATTTACTCACCTTGTCAATAGTGAGCCAATGATCGTTACGAGTCGGAAGCCTGTTTTTGAGGCTAGTATGCCTCCAACTGGCATACTCAATGCTTGCCCAGCAAATATAACTGCCTTAAACCATATGCACTGACTCCTTGATATGCCCAGATAGGCAATGAGATATGGATTCATGTTGCCTTTAAAAAAGTCATTAGTAAAAAGACGCTAACCAGTGGTGAGATTGTAACCAAATGATAAGTAAATGCAAGCAGATCCAAAAACTGTCAGGAAACCCCAGAGCTTTGGACATGGCATAACGTATAACGAGTAATCGTGAACGTATCTCCCAAAATCGGCGCGATGAACTGCTTGTCCCCATCGCAGCTGCTCACCTGCCCCGCCACGTTCCCATTGGTCGTAAAGGGGGTGCGCTGAGTGGTTGGCGACTGTTTGTCGGTTGGCTGGCTACTCAGCGCTGATTGGCTGAGTCCCGATAGGTAATTGGCCCATTGTTCGACGCGCGGGAGTTTGAATATTCCACGCGTGCGGCATGCTATGGAGGCTGGTGATGCTACATTTGCGAGCTTCCAACGTCTTCTTCACGGGCGGAAATTCGCATCCTTTTCTGTGTCGTGCACACAGCTTTACTTATATGGCGCACTTTGTTTGATGCCTGGTCCAGCAATGCTGTCTGTGTGGCTGCATCCGACCCGCATGCCTTGACTATTCATAGGAGATGGGTTACCATTTCAAGCCTGTCAATTAGCGTAAGCTTCCCGCTGGCGGTCCCAATGCGGAGAAGTTTGTTTCTACAGTCGGAAATACGTGTACGTTTTAGCCTCAACTCGACAGCATGCTTGAAGTTTCGCTGATTCTAAAGTTAATGTGTAGCCGTACCGGCTGCGATGCTTACCCCAAGTTCCGGCGGTTGGCGTCACACCTGTCCTTCTTTTTCGTTCACTTTCAGATAGGACACTGAGTATAATCGGCGTCTCTTCAGATCTCATAAAGAAACACATAAGTCGTTTAAAAAAATCACACGACTCACACACGGACGGGATTTAAAATTCGATTGTTACACAAGCATCCGGCCTTCCTATATTGCTTAGTCATTTATTTTCGGTTTATATTTCAAAAGGATTGTTTCCTGAAACATGGAAATCGTCAATTATCATTCCCATCTTCAAGTGTGGATCTCGGTCCTACGTTAATAACTATCGGGACGTGCACAAAACGCCGTCTCTAGCAAAGCTTCTTGGAAGGATAATTTTCAATGAAATTCTTGACTTCTGTCAAGCTAATCGGCTTCTGAGCTCTAGTCAGCATAGACCGTTACCTGAACGTTCCTGCAAACCTTGCCACTTGGCATTTTGTAATCTAATCACTTCTTACCGTAATGAACAGCAGTCAGTGTTAGTTATCTACTTTGATCTTAGCAAAGCCTTCGAAAAGGTGCCTCATAGACTTTATAAAATGTTTGTTCTTCCAGTCCTCAAATACTGCTGTCCCTTCTTTGGTCTAATGAGCGTCCGTGACCGCAATAAAATCGGAAATGTTCAGAGAGTTTTCACCCGGAAACTGCTCTCTCAAGTCGCACCCGGTACATCTCATTGTCAGAGATGTCAACTGGCGAACATTACGTTTTTGTGGCTGGCCTTTTTTTTCTTTTTCGCATCAACTTTAGCTCAAATCTTCCGCTCATTGACACTCTCACTCCCAGAGATCGGTCTTATGCCACGCACAACTCCTCCATGGTGTTTCCACCGCCTCTTAGCACCCTATCTAAGCGCTTCCTCTTCTTTGCTCCCAATTATGACTTTCTTTTGAATAACCTTCCGCCAGGAATTAGGTCATCGTCTATGCTACTGGGATTTAAGTTGAAATTACGCAAGCACCTCACACCCGAAAGCAAAAAGGCACTTTTAACGGTCTCATTCCCGAACATTCAGCTTTGTGACTTCGAGAAGGGTGTTCCTGGCATTTAATGGTAGATCAAGTGGAACTGGTAACTCAGTCTACTGTTATCTCACCTCCCACATAACGACGATTTTCGCGGTTCTTGGTGTCATCTCCTCATCTCGACCTCAAGCGCTCTATCGGCACTCACGGCAGAACCCTATGAATGCACCGTCCACTAGTAGTCTTATTCTACCTGCCTTGCCAACTTCTCGACGGGGCTCGAAGTAGATTGTGACCGATCGCCTCTGTGTTCCTCTCGTCTCGCCAATTTGACGCAAGTAGTCTCATCCGACGTACAAATTCTGCTCTGACGATGCCCGTTCTGAATCCCGTATACAATATCACACGCAGACCAGCCCTGTCTAACCTGCAAACCTACCCATCAAGTCTGACATTTATTTCTGCCCTGAAGATGTCCGACTATAATCCGTTAAGTACCGCCTCATGCTGACATCTCCCGCTCGCGATTTTTGTGTTTTCTCTCCTATACAATTAATCCGATCAATATTTCTATTCTTAATTGGAGCTTTTTACCGCCCGCTCATCACTTTTCTTAACGGACTACAAATTCAGAAACTATGAATTTCATTTTGTACAGTTCTGCCTACCTCGTCTAAAATTCGAATGTGAATTTAATTCTAGTTGCTTTCATGGGGCACCGGCGGGTCTTTAATAAAAATTATATATTTATTTGCTTATCTATATTTCAGCATATTTTAAGGGTAATTGACAATGCCTTAGCAAATCCTCCCTTATTCATATTGAAACAACTGTGAAAAACTCGGCGTCTCGGTGGGATTCGAACCCTCGTAGTAAGAGGAAGACTTTAGTACAGGCAACGCTCTAACCAATTGAGCTACGAGGCCCCGCCGGACTTCGTGTAATAGTTAAATTTAAATAAACGTGCTACTAAAATGTTGTCGGTAAATATGCATTTGACATAATGTTGTCCTTTAAAATGCATTTCCGAAACTCGAGAACGCTCAGTTTTATATTATTAGAGTAAAATAAAATAAAAATCATCCGCATTTGCGGTAGCTGCATGCAAGGCCTTTGTTTGGTATACCAAGCCTCTTCTGTTTCCATAAGCGACATTTTTCAATAAAATATACATTTGGAGTTTGTTTAACTTTTTACGCGAAATCGGGCATTATCACATTCTGGGGAAGCCCGTTCCGCGCACCAACGATTCGCTGTGGAATGGTGTACCTGCAAGCATCCAGGGGGCATTTGGTTCTTCGAAGTTAAAAAGAGTTCCCATCCAGATTTGTTGTTGTGACCGAGAAGAAGAAATCATCAATCTGTAGGATACGTCCCGGTTCCTCCAAATCGGACCCGGCTGAAAGAGATCTCTTCGGTTTCGTCTGTGCTCAAGAGAAAATATTCTAAGCTCATAAAGTCTGCGGCTGTAAGGTAAAGTCTTATTTTGGTCGCTCTCCTTGAATTCTTTCTGGCAACATATAGACTCTTTTAGCCAATTGTGCCACCCTTGAATCCTATCTTCCAAATGCGAACGGATGAGCTTTCAGTATGCTTTTTAAAAAACTCTTTATCTATATATAAGAATGATTTTTTAATGGTAGGGGGCGCTCACCGATCGTTCATACGGAACTCATTCCTTCCGTTGTGCCTTAAGTGCTCTCTCTCGAGCCCAACCAGCAGCCGCTGGTTGGCTGACGACGGCTAATAAGCCAGAAATGGCCATTTCAGTCTCCCTTGTCTTTGTCGGTAATACTATTCTGCCAATGATTGTTTAATGACAAAGAGGACACCGCTCACACTTTTGACCGCCCTAACGCATTGAGTGGACGGCTTGAGAGACAACCTAATGTTAATCTCAAGATCTTTTTGTTCGGTCACTTTTGAAAGGCACCTTCAGCCAAGCGGTAATGGTGATCCTTGCCATCAGCTATTCTATTCGTTTCCAGTCACGGCACAATGCAATTCTCAAGGTTAAACTTTAGCAGTCATTTGTCAGACCACTCTCCTAGGTGGCTCAGTCCTTCTTACAGGGCCCGTTCGTCATTCTTTCCATTGATCGCTTGCCATAACTTGATGTCATCGACAAACATGACTCCATTGCAGTCCAGCCCATTCATGCAGTCGTTGATAATTTAAAAACACTACTGGCCCGAACACAGAGCCCCGGGGAACTTCAGTTAAAACTTTCACTGGGGTTGACTTTGCACTACCAGCGCACGCAGAATGTGATCGGCCGGTCAGAAAGTCCTTGACCCAGTTTAATAGGTTCTCACTTCTCCCAGACTCTCGGACCTTTAATTGCAACCGGTGGTGTGGAACATTGTCAAACGTCTTCTTGGAATCAATGTAGATGATATCGGACCTTGTTCGTGCGTCCAACAAGCGAGACCATTGTCTCATTCAATAGAGGATGTTAGTTAGGCGGAAGTGATTTCGTCGAAAGCCATTTTAGGAACTAGCAAAGAAATGCTGTTCCTGAAGGAACTTCATAATGGTCTTTTTGACCATTCCCTTCATAACTTAACAACATATGCACGCTAGGCTGACCGGCTGATACTTGTATACACATTTTTTTGGACGCGTCCTTATGAATGCGATATATATTCGCCAAGTTCCAGCAAGAGAGGAGAAGGCCTCGATCAGAGGACGACTAAAAATTTTGCATAAGCGGTCTGGCGAGTTCGCAAGCCAGCTCCTTTAGAACATTTGTCATAATTTAGTCTGGATCCGAAGACTTACACTCCCTAAGCGCTGGGAGTTCCTTCCTCACATCTTCTTTCGTGAAGTCGATGCTTTCCATTATTTTATCATTTGTTACAGTAGGCAATCCAGCCTCGTCGTTGTCCGTTTCATCAGTGAAAGCAGATTAATAAACCGGCTAAGATGTTTTGCCTTAGCGTTATTTTCGATGATATCCTCATCGCTTCCTCCTTCTAACTCTGAGACCGTCTCTTTGTTCTTTAACCTGCTATTGACTTAAAGGAAGAGCACTTTCAGTTTATCGAGGGCCCGTTTTTTAACTCAAGTTTTTATACTCCTTCCGCGACCTGCAGATACTTGATATCACCTCGTTTCGCTTTCGGCTAAACTGCCCATAATAGGGAGGCTGTAATTTTATTGCATACCTCTGTGGCGGTCAAGGATGTGAGATCGACTTCGACCACGCACAATAAGTTCGTTTCGTCTACTGTCAGAAGTCAGGGAGCTGTGAGGACTAGTTTATTCTGTACACAGGGCAGGTTGCCGTAAGTTGGCGATTTGCTTGCAACAGAGAAAAACGTCCGTTCACGGAGAGCGTCAGTCACGGTGTGTAGTTTACGCGGGAGTGAAAGCCTGTGTCAGTAGGTGGGGGTGACTGGTTGAATGCTGGTCAT